TTCGTATTGATGGTCATCCTCAGAGGTGGGTTAAACCTCCAGATTCTAGAGAAGATGAGCACTCTGCCATCTTGATTTTTGGTGAGATGATTAGGAGTGCATAACACTCTGTCATCCAGCAGTGACACGGCAGACTCAAAACGACAGCTGGTTTCAACCCAAAAATGATGAAGCAAGAAGAAACCAATGCTCAGTGATAACAACTTTACTCATTTTTAACTCCATCAGCCTTTTCCAGGGGACAGTCACAAAAAATTGCAGAAACTCTTGCAAGTTTTAAGATCCTCAAGCTTCTTGGAGCTACACAAGACCTAGTAGAAACGTGGGTTTGGATGAGAACTGTTCGGTAGTACTGCCTGTTGACTGACTGAGCCGGCCATGTGCCCAGGTGGCAAGAAGGCCAACAGCATCCTGGCTTGTATCAGAAATCATGTGGCCAGCAAGACTAGGGCAGCGATCGTCCCCCTGTACTGGGCACTGGTGAGGCCGCACCTCAAATACTGTGTTCAGTTTTGGGCCCCTCACCACAAGACAGACATTGAGGTGCTGGAGCGTGTTCAGAGAAGGGCAACCAAGCTGGTGAGGGGCCTGGAGCACAAGTCTTATGAGGAGCAGCTGAGGGAATTGGGGCTGTTTAGTCTGGAGAAAAGGAGGCTGAGGGGAGACCTTATTGCTCTCTACAACTGCCTGGAAGGAGGGTGTAGTGAGGTGGGGGTCGGTCTCTTCTCCCAAGATAGTGATAGGACAAGAGGAAATGGCCTCAAGTTGTGCCAGGGGAGGTTTAGATTGGATATTAGGAAAAATTTCTTCACCAAAAGGGTTGTCAGGCATTGGAACAGGCTGCCCAGGGAAGTGGTGGAGTCACCATCCCTAGAGGTGTTTAAAAAACCTGTAGATGTGGTGCTTAGGGACGTGGTTTAGTGGTGGACTTAGCAGTGCTAGGTTAACGGTTAGACTCAAGGAACTTAAAGCTATTTTCCAACCTAAACAATAGTATGATTCCTACACTGTTGAGAGCCCACTTACTGCAAACAAATGTTATTAAACAGAAGCTGCTAGTTTTGACAAAGTTTTGTGAGGACACTAAGAATCAGTCAGGGCTGATGAAGTTGCTCAAGTAGTTCTGTTAGATCTTATTAGAGATGCTACAGCAGTTACTTCATATGGGCTCTCCTAGCCAGATAGCCAGTGCTGGTTTGTCATTTGGCCTGCTCAAAGGATATAAAGATTAAGAAAGCTTAAAGACCATTAATTAAGCACTCAGCACTGGGAAAAGGAAATTCCTTGTATAGTCTAGCCTGGTGACTGAAATCCTCCCTTGTGTTGTGAAGACAAGAGTGCTACAATGCTAATGGCACTCCAATATTGCCCAGCCACACTTTGATTTTCTCACAATTTGCTTTTGGATGTCTGAGAGATGTTGAGAAGACCTGACACAGTTCAACGAAAATCAAATGAAAACATGACATGAATACGGGTGTTGGTATTTCTCCTAGCGCATGTTCAGAACAGCCAACACCATTACCAAGAATTCCTTCCAGGAAGCAATAAAGGCAGCAGTGGGTGATTTATGAAGACTTGGCAATTCATTCCTTGGCCCTAAAAATTGGAAACTGACACAACAATAATAATTCTTTTTTAAAAGGAAATCATTCTCCCAGGCTTCCCAGTTCCCATCTATACCACATCTTTCTCACACAGTCCTGCATATGGTAAAGGACATGACCGTGGTTTATTAAATATGGAATAGCTCCTCCCCTATGGCAATAGCGCCAGTTGTGGATTTCACTCAGGTCCATTCTAAGCTCCTCTTGCCATGGCTGTGGACAGAATGGTATTTTTGCATAGTGTACAAAAAATGCCTTGAAAAATTAAAGTAGGTGCAATTCTGCAAATACGCTTGGCCCTTAGAAGATGCTGAGGATTCAAGTGGCACAGGTGGCTCTGTGAACTGATACAGAAATACACAACCTTGCTGCAGAGGCTATCCAGCCATGATAAACGTGGCTCACATAAAATTAACACGAGCAGGTGTAGTCGATAAGCATGAGGGTTTTTTCTTTGGCTGATCAGTTTTCTATCAGATCAATGTACTGCATCGAGACATGCTCCAGCCACAACAGGTGAGGTCCAGTGAAGGGGAAGCCATGAAAAAGCACCCTAGAGAAAGGTGGGGGGAGCAGGGCTGCTTCTTTTAGCATAAGCCTGCAGCTAGATTGGAGTTAAGTGTAACGCAAAACCACATAAGGACTGGTTTGCAGAAAAGGAGGTTCTTCAGATTGTCTCTCTCATTTATTGCTTTCTTTAGGCAGCTGTACTGGGATGTAGGAGACTGGCGTGAAAGTTCAGAGATGGAATAATTAGATTCAACGGCATGATTGTGGATTTTATGTGTGAGGCACCTTTGATTGTGGAAAAAGTTAAAGCATGTTCTTCATAAAGCTTGGGAGGTTTCTCATAACACTAGTACAAGTAGGTAGATGAAGAGATGTTAAATTCCTAATTGTTTCTTTTATCTTTCCTGTGACAGAGACAAGAGTTCTGTTTTAAAGACGTACCAAAACCTAGGTCTTTCATCTGGAGTGTAAAATTCATGTGTGCCCTGACCTCGTGTGTCACATGGTAATGAAACAACATAAATCAGAAATGTTAAAAGTTGAAGTTTGTTAATATTACTGCTGAAGCTCCAGTCTCCTTCCCGGTTAAACTGACAGGTCCATAGTCCAAATATATATATTTACAGATTACAACAACACAAAGAAAAAAAATTAATGGACACCCAATGAGAAACAAATGGAAATGCAAGTTTCAGATGACTATCTGGAAATTAAAAAAAACCAAAACAAACGAACACCAGCCCCCCACACCCTCCCCAAACAACTTGCATTTTAAATGGGGCGATGGACTTCCACTGTATTGTACTACCACCTTACTCCTAAGAAAATACTTTGGTGATTTACACTCTGTGGGAAAAATTTAGCAAATAGCATACATTTTGCATTCTCTTATCTATGTTTCCTTCCCACTTTTTTAGCTGTCTGGGCTGAAGCAGTCACCAAGATACAGAAATGTATCTTCCCTAGTTGAGGAAGACATTATATACTGACATTTTGGGGTCAGTAAACAAAAGAAGATGGACCCCTATCAGCCCCTCCATTTGTTCCCACCCTTGTGAGCCACTCCTGAACAACTGGCTGAATTTGATGTAGACCAGAGGTGGCAAGAGCTCACAAAGCAACACAAAGACTTTGGGGAGATTGGGCTAAGGCCAGTCCAGCCTTGGGACACAATCAGCAAGGTGTTTTTTTCAGGTGCCCATTGGTCTGGGATTTATTAAAAATAAAAAACAACTTCCCTCTTTCCTTCTCTCTCCTCCCATAAAATCCATGAGGACTCTCAAAGAGAATCTGAAAACAGGGACATTTCCATATAGCTCATTTCACATAGAGAAATCCAACTCGTTAATTCAAAAAAAGTCAAGACTACGCCAAAGCATACTGCACACTTGAGATAATCACAGGTAAGTCTCATACTGCAGTTTTTTCCCATATTAAATGGATTGTGAAAGTAACTGGAAACTTGTTCACATTCAGTTATGTGAACTACTGCTGTCCAAATCTCACCCCACAAAAAACCCTACTCTTTCTCCAGCAGACGATAGAAAGGAAGCCAGTCCTGAAGGCAGAAGGTGAAATCCTGGCTCCATTGTATTCATTTGCCAAATCTGAATTGACTTCAGCAGGGCCAGGATTTCCCCCATAACGATTTAGCTATAGTAAGCAGGGGAATGTCTAAATGGCAGAGTAGAAAACCAGGTTATGGACACTTTAGATCCCCACTTTGTACCCCCAAGCTAAGCACCACAGTAACACATGACTTGAGAATATTGCCTTGGCTGAGTTCGTAACGATCAGTTCTCTAACTCAAAAGATTCATGTTATTACTGAAGTTTCTGCAGATAATCCTCCTAACAGAGGAATCAAACATAACAGAGATGAAGTGCTGCTTTCATCTTTACAGACAGTCTCTTGAGAACAACTATCACTGCCACATCTGGTGATTCTGGAGCTACATCAACTTTATTTTTCTTTGTAACTTATTACTGACCCAATTTTCTCTATTATTAGCGCTATCCTGACCATCCTGCTTCATGCTGCTGTAAAGGTACCTCTTCAAGGGAGAGGGACTGAGTCAGTGTGAACTGGGGGAAAAAACAAGCAAAAAAATGAAATTCTTCATCAGAATGAACACAGGCAGCCAGAAATAAGAAAAAAACACATAAACAACAACTGAATCTGTGCAGAACAATGCAGTGATTGAGAGAATTCAATCACCACTGCTTCTAGCACCAAATTTAGGGCCGTAATTCCCACAGTACTTCTAAAGAGTATTTTTCATGCAAGACACAAAAGTTATTATTTCTTTCTTAATCCTTGCTTCAGTTCCTAAAGCAGCTCTCCATGTGTGCTAATTGGGATGGATGAAAATTCAGTAAGTAATGCAGTCTTCCTGGATCTTGTTTTCTTAACTGCTTGAATTCTAAAAAAGCACCTACTTTTTTTTTTTCTCCATTATCAGCTACAATGCCGTAGCATGGATGCAGCATCGCCACCCAGGATCTGGATCTTAAAGCTACCTGTGAGCAAGGCTAACAGCCAAAACTCAGTATCTATCAGCACAGTGAAAGACTGTGTTACAATTACTTGGCATAGCTGCATATGAAAAAAAAAAGTTACTACTTTTTTTCTGTCAAATTACCTATTTTACCTGAATGTTATCTTACTATCTTATTTATTTACTAAGACTTTTTATCTTTACAATAAGGCTGATTTTACTATAGCATTATTATTTACATTGTTTCCCTCCTATCCCCTATCAATGTGAATGACTTACATTATCTTATACAATTACGTAAGCACTGGAATATACACAAGATTACATGGGAACACAGCACATAAACTAAGAGACAGAAATCTCAAAACTGTATTTAGCATACTCACTTGAATAAAGGAGTCCCACAAACAACACATTTGTATATTCCTTGAGCTTTATGATGTGTGTACTCCCCCTCAAAGGCACTGGGAAAACAACAACACTACATTTTAAAAATAAATAAAGGAATTCGGGGTTTTTTTAATTATTAAATTAGCTAAGACTTTAGCAAAATGTTACAGGAGAGCCCCACGATTTAAAAGTTGGCAGTTGTTTTTTATTAAAGGCAGCAAATAAAGCAGGCACAGGAAAGGGGAATGTCCTCATTAGCGTGCCTCAGGTGTTATGTATCATGCAAGAGGAAGCCCGTTGTCCCACAGTTCAAAGGACAGAACAACAGCAGCCACAAAGAGGGAGGGACTGGAACCTTCCCCCGTTGGGCGAGCGAAGCCGCCGTTTTTGCGAACGCGGGCGTTCGGCGCGTCGCTCGGCCTGACGCGCTCCTCCTCGGCCTGTCCCGGGGCCAGGTGGGCTCAGGCTGAGGTGCGAAGCGCCTGCCGCCCGGGGCCGGGGTGCCGGGCCGCGGCGGGGCAGGAGAGGCATTGCAGCTGAAAATGAAATAATTGGTCCACGATTTCAAGCTGTGCGCACCTTATATTTTTAGTTGAAAAGCAATATTACAGCTTTAAGGGAATATTTTTCTAAGTTAACAATCTAAAAGGCTAGGAGGTCATTCATCTAATACGAATCAGCTGCGCTAGCCCAACAAAAAGCCTATGTGCTCGGCAGCTTGTTTTTATTATCCTTTCACCCTTTTTATGAGGTCCAATTTTTTTTTATAAACAGGATTTTTAAGAATGACCTAATCTCCGATTGTTTGTGTGCATTAAATCACGTTGTTGGTCCCATACACAAGAGCGAGGAGGGCCGGGGGGGAGGCAGGCCCCCCGGCAGAGGCCACTGCCCGGCCCCCGGCCCCTCCGGGGCTGCGGGAGGAAGAAGGGGGCCGTGGCGGAGTGGGGGCCGCGGCGAACTCAGCCCCCGGTACGCGCCGTCAGGAAAAGGGCTGCCGATTAAGCGGGACCCCACGTGCGGCGGAGAGAGCCCTTTCAGGTCACGGATGAAAACAAGCAGTTACATCATTAGTACGTTCGGAGCAGAGGTAAAGCCAGGGCCTTATGCCAAGCTCAGTGGTATAAATTAGACAACAAAAAACGGCTAGGCCTTGGCAAGTTACCTTCATGCTGGAATCAGCTGAGAGAGAGACTTTATTCACTAAAAACAGTCTTGGAAGCAAGTCCTGGGTTTTTTTTTCCTCCAGGACTCGGGGCTGGCTTCCAGTGACTAAAGCCATGTGAGGGCAGTTATTGAAAATTTTTGACATTCCAACCACAAATGAGCCAATAAATACCTTCTCCACATGTGCTTCAAAAAGAAATTGGAGTGGGGTGGAAAAGGACTAAATTATGCTACCTTCTTTCTGCAGCCAAAAGGTCTATACTTACAATGGCCACCTTCAAAACTCCAGCCTCCTGGCACGGGGCCATTTCCCTCGTGGTTCTGCTTACTGTGATGTCTTCCAAAAAAAGTGTACCTAAACTGCTATTACTTCCACACATTTTGTAGTAAACTAAAAACAGACTCTAAACATGAGCCCGGTGACTTTATAAGACATGCAGCATTCATTAAAAGAAAAAGTCACACAAGACCCCTGGCCTCGGCCCCCGCGCTGCAGATGCTTGTCTTTGCAGTGGTGTTAATTTGTAGGGGTTAGTAAACAAGTGCAGAAATCCTGGGGCGGCGGGGGGAGAACACAACCTGGTGGGGAAGGTGAGGAAGCACCAGTAAGAGGAGGGGGAGAAGAAAGATGCCTGTGTTTTGAGGACTGCGTTTTCTTCGTCCTGCCTTACCTTTCAGTCCCCTTCTCCTGAGTGACATGGTACTGCAAGGGTGTCAGCCGCTTCCTCAGCTCCTCCTGGGAAAAGACCACCTTACAGTCCTTTTTATCCCTACATGACCCTGCAAAGGGAGAGGATATGGGAGAAGGAGCCTTTTTAGCTTAAATCCTGAATAATTGCTTTGGCAGACCGCCACAGCATAGCTTCTGCATACACTTGTCAATGACCAGACCGGTCCCTAATGCACGAAGAATGGCTCAGCTGAACTGCAGCTGATTATTTCTTCAAATCCAAGTTTAAAAAAGAATTTTGCTCAAGAGCCAGGTGATTCCACTGGAGCAGTGACAATGTGCTACAGCCAAAGCCCTTTGGTGTGTTATACGCTAAACTGTTGCGCACACAATCATTCACAAGAAGGTAACATTTTTCCCACCGTTAAAAAAAAAAATCTGCAAAAAAACCCCAACTACAGCTGAAACGTTCTTTACAAGACATCTATATTGGAGACTTATGGTAATGGGCATATGATGTTCAGCCACAACATCCAACAATTTCATTACCCTTGAAAGTAGCTGAAAAACAATTCTGAATCTTTAGAGTTCCAATAAGGTTGATTTAACTTCTAGTTGCATCCTTGTCCTTTTACTTTATAACATTAACCATTGTATTTTTTCACTGTTGAAGCACTAGAATAGGAGCCCTGAGGAGCAAGTAATTTCTTTATGAACAAAGCTGTACAAGGTTCAACGATAAGCTTGTCGTAAAAATTAGGGTTGCTATTGAAATTACCCTCCTTTGAAAATCTCATCTTATGCTTTGCTGCATTCACACAGAAAATCCAAGGAGTACATAAGGATTACTGAAAAAAAAATTTGTGTAGTGCAAAAATTCACATCACGAAAAAAAATAACAGTAAGGTTGCTTCTGAGAATGAAAACTCCCAAAGTAGTAACAGAAATTGCCAAATATTCAAATAACTTTGATAATCACTTGCAAAAATTAGCTGACAAAATACAGCACGGAAAAAGCACTCTAATTATGACAGTAATTAAAATATGGTACAATTAGAAATAAACAGTCCCGACAAAAATATTTTTTACTAGTAATGTATATACACTCATAAAAAGACCAATTGTGTTCCCAAAGTAGAGGGAACAGAGCTACCCATCTGTATGTCATTTAGTACAGGAGAGGCAATGGCAGGTTTAAATTACATGGTATTGGATTGCAATTTCCTAACATTGGATGCTTTTCTGCTTTTTTACCTTGAGTCATTACTAAGGAGTGTTCATAAAAACTAGCTTACAGCACAGATGCTTGCAAATCATTTAAGAAAAGATGTTTCTTTCTTCCTCCCCCTCTCCTTTTCTCATTTTTTTAATGTGTGGGGGTGGGTGAATAGGGGAGAGAGAAAAAGAATAATGCTGTTGGTCACTACCGACTAACCCTAGGAAGTATTTTCAGGAAGAAAAAAGTAAAATTGAAAACATCTGATTGAAGTAAATAGTGCAAACATAAAAAGCTTTACTAGTGAAAGAAAGGTATTGAAAAGCGACTTTATTTCATAGATTAGAAATTACTTTTGATCTAAACATTCTTAAAAACAGATTGTTTTCCACTCCGAGCCATCTCATTAGCTGTGCTGCAGAGCCTTCGTTTTAATGGCAAGCTTTGAAAGAGCACTGCTGTATGCCTTTGTTAGCTTCAATCTTATTTGGGAGAGGGATAAAGATTTCATTCCAGGTCTCTTTGTTTGTCTTTCAAGAACCACTAAAGCAGCATTCACACAAATTTTGCAAGAATGTGCCCTGTGCCATAGCTTACAAATTATTTGGTTTTGGTGCACTTAAAGGTCACCTTCCAAATTAGCAAAATTTTCCTACATCCTGGCTTTTCAACCTTAAATGTAAATATTGTTTCCTAACTGTAAGTGAGGTTTGTTCTTCATAACATTTGGTTGCTTATTTAAAGATGTCAAACGTTGGAGGTTTTTATTCTCCGAACGTGCAGGCCTCTAGGACTAATAAGTCTTTCAAAGTATAGCTAACAGGGAAAGGAAGCATATGCATTATATAAATAGCTATTGTTACGTTGCATTACGCAGCTCAGAAAGAAACTGTTTGAGATATGGTCTTTCATCTACAATTTCAGTCTGAAAAAGTAGTCTAGAGAGCAGCAAAGACTCTTACAAACCAACAGCTCTTCACTTTTAAAAGTATCTACCAATTACTCTTTTAAAAAATTCTATTTGCTCTTTAGATGTTGCAAAAAAGCAAACTAAGCGTAACTTCACTTTGGGAACAGTCAGAGAAAATACTGAATGTTGTAAAGAATGGTCAGTATTCCCTCTTTACTCTCCTTGAGTATTTTTTCATCCATTTCAGAAATTTAGTGTTCTTCTATCAATGGGCTCACCATATGCACAAGAAAATTTCTATATGCCACTTGAGCCACGACATAGATCAGAAGTAGGAAGTGTGTTACGAAAGATTTTTTTCCCTATTGTTTCCAATAATTAACTGCGTGTTTTACAACACAGAGAAGTATTTATGTCTACAGGGGAATTTTGCCAAACTGCACTGGGGTAAACTGCAACCTACCCCAACAAAGGACTCTCCAGGTTTGTAATTTAATGGAGTATACATCAGCAAAAAGCTATAGTTGCACTACAAATCATAAAAGAAATCTCTTGGTCCAGCCCTCAGCATTCAAGAACAGCCCTATTGAATTAATTGCACTTATTATGTAACTGCTAGCAACAACAACAACAAAAAAACCTCTCAGTAAATTGACTGCACTATTTCCATATTGCCAAAGAGCCAAGGAGGCAAAGCAAGACTCACCCCTGACTGCAGAGGATGTAAGGATACGTTATCTGAAACAGGGCTAGCCTACAAGCCTTAATAAAATGCAGTGAATCCTGGAAATTACTGGATGAGATTCTAGGAATACAGTCCTCTGGTTAGGAAAAAAATTACATGCAAGGGGGACAAAAGTGCTCAACTTGCAGTACAAGGGTGGCTACTTCTGTTTTTTCAGTTGTTCCTTTATGGCATATATGAGATGTCTGCACCATTCAAGCCAACTGACTGTATCTTGGGAGGGGACAACATAAAGCTACACAAATATATGCCCAATATGACAAAAACTGCCACTAGTAATGCAGCTGTTATCAAACTTGTTATTAAAGCAGAGAACAAAGGTGCAGGCTGACCACCTTCCTCAGTCTGGTTGCCCAAAGACGGGACCAGGTATGGGCTGTGGAAAGGGTTCCCATACAGGCAACAAACTTCTTCAGCAACTCAGGCATAAAGGCAGGCTCACAGTTCATTCGCAAATTACACAGTTCAAGGCAGAAGAGAAAAAAGGTCATCAGTTTTACAAACAGCATGACATCAGTGTGATTACATTAAAGGTGAGACTAAATTAAATACACTGTGAGAATAACAGAGTCTGGATTCACTGGATCTGTTAGGACTCTGGAGTGGATCTCACTTGCTTTTTGGAGGTGATGCTCTCGGCAATGACTTTTAGAAGAGCCCAGGACAGCTATGTTCCTAACTCCAGCTAGATCCCACTGTTTGGACTGGTGAACACCAGCCTACGTGGGCAGACAAAATTCCCTTTACATTCCACTGCAGGATTGGAGGCCAGATGAAATCTCTCCAGTCGGCACACCTCGGTGCCTTGGTTGGGGTGGGCGCTCATTAGAGGAGCAGTGCGCAGGCAACTGCTCCACAAACAGGCACCGGCGTTCCCACGTGAGGCGACCCGGCGTCAGCCTTCTGCCATCAGTGACAGCGGTGCTAAAAGCTGTTCAGGTCCTGCAGCAGGATGGAAGGCTTTGCAAAGAAAAGCCCAGGGTCACAAATCTTAATGCATAAACACAAAAAAAAAAGCTGAGGAAGATGGAACAAACACTAACAGAAACCCTTTTGGAGCCCCCACGGCATTCCTGTGCTTAGGAATGGCTTTTCTGAAAACCAATGCAATGCACACTGCCATTTACTATTCACCTGCAGACTACAGACATTTTAGAGTTCAGCGCTGGAGTCCTCCTCTGTACAAATGAAGCGAACAGAAAGTATTTTCTGGGTGCTGACCTGATAATGAAGACATTAAGCATCTCGCCTCACATAAGAATTCCAATTTCAATTGACCTTTTCAAATCTGTGGTTCATAACGCAGGCATGTGCCATTTCCTTCCATATAAGCAATCACAGGAAAACTAGCAACGAGATATGTCCAGACAGATGGACACAAGTTAGCAGACCGTTACTCCTCCACTCAGCCCTTCACCTGCTCCAGCATGCCGGAGGGTGGCGATTAGTCTCTGACGTGCCCTGAAATATGTTGGCATTTTGCTTGATGGCCTTCCTTCTTCAAATAGTCTTTTGAACCATTCTAATGATTTTCTCTTATGTTTTGTTGCTTTCTACCCCTGAAATTAACATTTCAGCTGTGTGGAAGACACAGCATACATTTTCCCCCTTTTACGTATGCTTATGTTCCACTAGCATTAATGGACATTACAGTCATGCACTGAGCACATACCATTAAGACTTCCTGAATTAAATACAGCAAGATCAAACGTTCCAGTGGAGCACAGCCATATAATAAACTGGGCTTCTAGTTTTTGGTACTACTTCTTTTAATATGCCCAAGCAGTTTTTTAGGGGCCTTCCAGCACATTTCATTATTCATATACCCCCCCAGCCCCAATCCTGCAATGTGACCTGTGTGGGCAGACCCTTGGGAACATGCATAGCTCCAACAACTACTTAAAGGTCTACAAATGTACATCAGATTACAGGATCTGGCTCTAAGTATACATCTCTCTGCTTCCCAAAGCCTGTCCCTTCATAAGTGGGTCATACCTTAGTCATCGATGGTAAATTATCTCAAACTGATGTTAAGAGGAATCCTGCAAGGTTAAAAAATATTTGCATACATTTCTTTAAATAAATATCCTCACATATGCTATCGCTAATACTCCATATTATTAAAAGTGGAATCTCTCATTTTTATTATTTCAAATTTCATTTACACAGTTTATGCCTCTTGTTTACAGTTTTGCCTCTCTCTCTGCTTAGGAAAAGGCAAACAAACACACAAGTCTCGCTTCTGTTTAGTCTGCTCTCTGCAGGCTCTAGTCTGCAGCCTTGGGAGAATGCCACAGTGCCCTATCACTGCAAACAAGGCAGGAACTGCTCATCTAGTTTAAAAAAGAACAACTCTTGAAAATGCAAATTGATGCAAACAGTTCTACTGGCTTACAAGTTGGAAAACACTGTTTTACAAAACCTGTATTTGACATGATAGATGTTTTTATAACCCCATCACAAGCCATTTTAAATTACCTAAGCATGCTGCTGACTAGGATAGATGCTGCAAAAGAACTCTGAAATGTTGGGAGGTCAAGTTTAAGTAAAATCCAAACTTCATCATTAAAAAAACCCTGTAAATGTTTTACACATTGAAAAACAGATCTGTGTTTCTTCTCTGAGGGATGGCTCCTTTGCTTTCTTGCTGTAGGTAGCTAACTCCCACCCGCTGTTGAAATACCATTTGCAGTTTCATGCAAGCATTAGGAGTAATGGGGCGAAGACCATTTCCACTATATTGTGCGTTAAAAATCCAAAAGCCGGGTACCAGGACAACAGTTACAATTTTGGGTCAAAGCCAGGTTCTATCTTAAAAGAACACCACCCAAAAATTAACTGTCTTTAAAAAAAATTATTTGGATACCCAGGAGGGTCACATGGCCACAAGGGAAGGGCAAGCCCTTTCTTTGCAAATTTGCAAGCTTCCCGTGCAACCAAGAAACAAGAGCTGCCACATTTATTTTTTCCACCTGGTCATCAGCGTGGCTCATGTTTTGTATAAATGTATATATTTTGAGTCACCATCAGAGATCTCCCATGTAAGACAGTAAGTTTCTCAAGCACTAAAAAAAAAAAATGCCCAAACTCCCAACTAATGCATCTCCTCTGTGCACTCGTTTTCTTTTCAAAGAAAGTGGTACTGAAACCCCAGTGGTCCCAGTCCAGACAGCATCTATGGGAACGGAAGCTGCCTTGCTGTTTCCGCAGGTCTGCAAGCGTCTTTGCGGCAGGTTACATGGCTGAAGGAGCCATGCAAGCCAGAGAGACGTTCCCTGGAGAAGAAATCTGAAGCTGCCTCCCCTCCCCACGAATGTAAAAAACATTTAACAAAAGATGGAAGTGTTTTGCGTAGCGGGAAAGGGGGAAAGAAAAGCAGGTCCATTTGTCCTGTCCAGGGATGTCTACTTTACTTCCTTATCTCAGGTTAATGAAATAGATGTCACTACCAGCCACAGTCTTGGTCTCACAGCCTCTCCAAATTATAAGCCTTGAGGACTCCATCACCACCCTGCACTGGCCGGTGGAGGTGAAGGCAGCTTCCACCGGGGCTTTTTGAGGTGTCATCTTCACCAGTACTATAGCAATGGCAGCATGTGGTTGCTCAGCAGAGGCTGGTGAATAGAAGCACCTTCAATTAAGTGGAGCAAGAGTTCATTACATTATAAACTGCCATTTTTGTTACCCTTTCTGCTGAGATGGCCAAAGACAGAGTGCACGGGGCAGCTGACCTATTTGCCTTACTCTTGGATGCAAACCAGGCAAGACAAGATCAAGATCTATTGGTACAGAAGTGGAAGGGGGAGCACTTATAATGATGGATTTCTCTTCCTCTCTCCCTAACAGATAAAGAGACTTTTGTTTTGCTGATATGATCCTAGCACCTTTCACATGCACTACATTTGTTTAAATTACAAACAAGAAAGGCAGAGACACTGAGCACTCTGTATCTGGTCAGAAGACTTCTGTCACGATCAATAAAAGGGTGCACAACATATGGAAAGGCATTTTATTAACAGCAGAATTAAGCTGAATTTAGTAAGAGTGCTTTATGCTACGTTTTGCATTTAAAATATTTCAGTAAGCCACCAAAATAAATTTATTCACACAGCTTTAATAAAGGTTTAACCCTGCAGCAGAAACAATTAAAAAGTCAGCATTTGCCAGTGGTTACCGCAGTGGTGTGTAGCTTATTGTGGCATTCAGGCTGTTGCTAAATCCTCCTGCTGCTTCCTCCACAATAGTGATGTGTGGCCTGCGAAGTGAGCACTGCGTTTCAAGAATCAAGGTGCCGCAATCTACACTTGGGATAGGGGGTGGGGTGGAGGAAAGGAGCGGGGTGGGGGGAGGTCTTTCTTCACCTCCAATTCCCCACAACAGCCCAGATCTAACTGCCTGCGAAACTCAGGCTGTCTCCAGCTGTGCAGGAACCCTTTTAGCAAAGACGCAAACAGGCACAGCCTGCTCTGTGGCCTTTCATCCCACATCTCCAGGCACTGAAGGACGTACCCAGCGTGAGGACAGGAGCAGCTGGAACACGCTCTGCTCCAGCTGTTGCTCTGCTATGGCCACGTCGGAAAACACTGTAGCCCCCTCCCCTCTCAACCTGCTTCAGGACTAAAGGTAGAGAAAGACCCAAAAAGGTTAGTAACTGCCAACTTCTTTCCCTAGTGGGCCTTCTGGGCTTCCCTATGTTTCTCTAAAATTCAGCCATGCTTTATGGGTCAGGAAGATGGGGTCAAGCCCTATAAAAGGGCTTTAAGAGGACTCGGTCGAGCCCTTCCCTGCTCTGCTCTCCTCGGGACTCCTTGACCCAGGCCAGAGCCCTGAGCAGGGAGTTCTTACCTGCAGTGCACAAAGCTGCCAGTGCTGGACCTGGGCTGCCAGCAGCTACCGTCCCCCAAGAACCTCTCCTCCAGCTGGAGCAGGGGGCACCTTCGTATGCCAGCCAGGCGCCCCTTCCCAACACAGCTTCTTCTGAAGGAAACCACAAGATGACATACATGTTTAGCTTGTCACTAAGAACAAACATTGTCTGCTGCTTAGCCATCTCTGGGACACAATTCCTCTCCACTCGTTTTCCCCTACGTCACAATTTGTGCTGTAGCAACCTGTGGTTAACCTAACAGCTAAGTCATGGTCATGTTCGTGTCTCTGGTGCTGACTCCTGGTCCACATCCTAGACCCATTCAACGTACCATCAAATTCCAAGCTCACACATCCATCACTTCCCAACATACTCTTACTGATTTTAGCATTCACATTCCCATCTTGCACCTTTTCTTGCTTGCCCTCCCTCAGCTTAGCCATATACAAAATCTTCCTTTTTGTGTGCTGTCATCTCCCCTTTATGTCACATTCTTCTCTGCAACCTTCATCATGTGCTCCTCAGAGAAAGGACAAAGCCAAGGGTTGCTTTTAATTGAAGGAAAAAAAGTGAAGGCAGTCCTTAAAGGACTTCTCAGACCTCCTGTTATAAACACACAGTCCAGTAACTAAAAAAGTAGCTTTTCATGGGAAACTTTAAAACACAGGAACACCGTTAGTGCTGAAACTTCATCTTTTCCATACCCAACTAAGCAGAAAACGCAGTAAGCCTGAGCTGCAGAGGGCACATGAATGGAACGTGGGAAATTTATGAGCTCCCAGAATTAAAACATTCCTGCAAGAAGGGTAGAAATGGCTTGTGGTGGGTCCTTTATGGGGGCAGGAAGGGAATGCAAATGATCTTAAGAGATCCGTCAGGGAACACATTAAGGAACTGGCTCTGTGCACCGTCTGGGAGCACAAGAAACGTCTCATCATCCCTGTGCTACTCAGTGCCAGAGTCACTGAGGAGCCTCCACCCTGAGAAGGCAGGGACGAGCGCCTTCTGTCTATCGAGCAGGTGAGGGAGAGTGCAAAACTCCGCCAGAATGAGGAGTTCAGAAGGGTGAAAAAACAGGGTACAAACCAAAAGGGTACAAACCAAAAGGGTACATTAACAAAGGGTTTCTGGTCTTCTTTATGATCCCAAGTTTTGCAAGCATCAGGCGCAGTAAGAGCATTACTCCCAACAGGATTATCTACAAATACATTTCATTCTAAACTGTATTAAGTAAGACATTCTAGACTGAATACTATTGTACAAAAGAAACATTTGTAAATACAGCATAACATTGAATATACAGCTATATAGAAAGGTAATTTTTAAAACCCATTTCCAAGCCATTTCAAAAATAGTTATGCTCTATTATGATAATACAGCATTCGACTATCTTATGACTAGGAGGCAGACATACACACAGACATTTATATAATAATGGCACGTGAACAGCTTCACATGCTGTTTACTATTGTGCTCACATACTGCTTGTTTCCAAGACTCTTTTCAAGCATTTATCAAATTCCTCATAACTGCTGGGAGGTAGTAAACTAGGTAATTTGTAAGACTGTATTTTAAGTTTAAAAATGTATTTTTGTTCCAAATTAATATTTGCTTTTTTTTTTAATTTAGCTTCATAGAAATGAGTTTTAATTTTTGTCCTCCAACCAGCTCTGAGGAACAAGTACATCCAGCTGAGACCTTGTATGACATATTTAAACCCAGAGCAAATTCTTATGTTCAAGATATAGACTCCAGAAAATAAGAATTTATAATGAAAACATTGACAGGCATTTAACCATAGCCATACAGGTGGTTTTTGCTACACAATGTATCAGTATTATTTTCTTTCGGATCACATGAACAGACATCTGTAGTAGTACATCTTTGGTGATACACATTATGGAAAGCTATGGGAAAGTTATACATTATGGAAATTATATCTCTGAACATAGAAACATACAATATGAAACGTTTAGACATACTTAAGTCACACAGAGTTTGACAGCAACTACAGTACTTTGAACACAAGAGACTAAGATCTTTTCTAGACTTTTCATTCTTAAAGCCAGATCTGGCAAACGCTACACACACAGATAATTTCACTGACATGAGCAGTCTAAGAGTTCAGAGGGACAAATGCATATGAATAACTCATGCATGTAACTGTTTACAAGATCTGCTCCTAAAAGTAATCCTTTATGTTAACACAGCACTGCTAAAAATCCAATTTTGAGACCCAGTAATTTTCTGTTCGCTAGCTATTCATTTCAATTTTATGAAAAGACATTATACTGAAACTTGGAATTAACAAATATTTAATAAAACAAGTTATGAGAAACTATACTATAGATATTTACTTAATAAAGACTTACACCATATGCCCAGCACCATCTTCATACAGATGCATTGTAGTTTAATCTAAGCCTAGAAAAGTATGGTTTCCTACTAGTAGTTATTTTAGTAATTAAACACTTCACAACAATTTAATATTATCTAGGACTTTATTATTTCATACAGAAAAAAAACCCCTAGGTCTACCCCTGCAATTTCTTCATCATTACTTTTACTTAATTTTACAAGCACCATAATTTTCTTTGATCTACAGGAGAGGAAAAGCCAAATTATCTCATGCAAAAAATGTGATGTAAGCAGCACAACATTCAAAGTGTTAAAGAAATAAAGGATTTTTTTAAGAAATGAGAACCCATAATAATTAAAAGACACAGCAAAGCAAAATAAGCTACCTTTTTACTTTATAGTTTGGTGGTCTGCTACAGAAAACATATGTACATGGAATCTGCGTAATCGTTACTTGTATCAGACTTATATCGGTTACTTGTTGGTATGCACTAAAGCAGCTGAAGTAGTTTTTACATTAGAAGTTTTGGGGGGTTTTGTTGTGGTTTGGGGTTTGTTTTATTTAAGATTTAATTTCTGTGAACTAAATCCTGGCAGGTGCTGGGTGCATCCTGCACTTCCAAAGAAATTTAGAGCACTCAACTCTAATAAAGCGGGCTCAAGGAGTGACACTTAACATCACACGACAGACACAACGGAGCTGTAATCACTACTGCAATGAAAAAACCTTTAACCAATGCGAAAGTAGTTGGCATATGAGCACAGATCGTTGTGATTTTTCCCAATGCTCATGCTTTTCATAAAATACTTGTAAATAAATGTTCATAAGGTCTCAGGGTGTACTTTCTGTATGAATGACTCCTGAAGGGGAAGCTTTTCCTAAAGTGCAGCATATGCTTAGTGCCATCTACAGGGACTGTGCCTGCTCTTACTCTGACTTCACCGTGCCGGGTATGAAAAACGTCATGGGCGAACCGTGCACTGGGTTTGCATGCATGAAAACATTCAGTCCTAACTTCAGATGAAAAACTGTTTTCAAAATACAATTTGGAAGAATAGATCCACACTCCAGGTGTGAATATACAAATAGAAAACGAGCAAGTAAAAACACTTCACTAGCACAACTGATCCAGTGCAACTGGCACAGGCTTACAAAATAGCATTTCAAAGGAAAGACAGAAAGTCATCCCTACTCTAAGATACTTCCTAACCTTGTTTCATTCCTTTAACTTTTGGGGAAAAAAAATCACTTATTTCTGATCTACAACTATAACTTTATATTAAAGCAAATATTGCACTGTACTCTTTGTTCCTTACAGGAAGGACGGAGGTACCATTCCGAGCATAGAAATCAAAATTATACTTTCACTCAAGTCCTTGTCCTGCAAATACTTAACTGCATAGAGTTTAAAACTGTGTTTGAAAGCCCCATTTACAGCTCTGCTGGCACTTTGCTCCCTTACGCTGAGCGGGCAGGGGTTCCAGAAGGTTAGAAAGTCTCCTTCTGTATGGAATTTGCCACTGAATTAGAAGACCAAACTCCACACCATTCCAGACTCGGTGGGCAGACAGCACGGTGGTATGGTTGCAGGGCTGCAATTCGTACAGAACTGGGTGGTGGGAAAAGCACTAACTCAAAGTGTTATGTTATAAAAAAACTCAGGAGAACTCGGGGTCTTCTCTGTATATTCAAAAGTTAAAGTCACAGTGCATTGTGGCATTTAAGCAGATGTTGGCTCTAGATCTCGTTCCCATGTTTAGTTTGATACATGCTATACCATTTACTTGCAACTCCCTCAATACACCACACACAAAAAACCAAACCAAAGGCAAAGCAAGCCTACATGAAGTTATAAGCATCTGGGGAATTTAGATTACTCTTAAAATATGTGAGATATGTGATTGTATATTATTCCACTGTTAGCAGATGAATTTGGGTTTATTATACATAAATATTTCTCTGTATCTCTCTCTATAAAGTAGCCAGTCAGTGGAACTCACTCTATTAATGTTTGCACAGTTATGGATCAAAGGGACAGGAATAAATAGTAGCGTTATGAGCTTTTTATTCCAAAATGTGACTACTGGATTATGCCAGAAAAACAATTTGACAAAATAGCTAACATAATGCTTTGCAGACAGGTACGCAATAGCAAAACCTCCCACAGGCTGCGTTTCTAGGTGACCAACTTTGAGATCTGCTTTTCAGATCAGGAATAAAATGGCCAGAAGACTGAGTGCCCCCATTTTAAGGTAGACACCAGCAATACTAGCACACATCAAAAGGTGCATAATAAGGGCCAAGGAAATTTGCTTACCCTGTATTTTTAGGATTTTAAATCTGGCTCAGCAGCAAATATAACAGGAAACCAAGGTCAGGCTGACACAATGTGGGCTATTCTCTCTCTTCCTCAATATGTGTTTGCAGGTCCTATCTAGGTTAATGGGAGTTCTGTGCACATGTGTGGGGAAACAGAACACAAATGCTGCAAAAATTGGACTCAGATTTCATTCAAATAAAGTGTAATCAGCTCTAGAAAAACCCATCAGCTTGAAAACTGATGTCTTATCACTGAAAAAAATCTTTAAAACATCACCTCCATATGCTTGTTAAGTCCAGCTCTGGGAAAAAGTGTTCATAACATTTTGCACACTTATGAACCAGTTGTGGGTGTAGTACAAACACCCAGGCTGGTTCTTTTTTGATGCTTCAAATACTGATCAGCCAGGATTCTATCTTTTTTATTTGGGTGTCAAGAAAATTCGTAGTAATGTTCAAAATTAGCTCAGTGCAGCTTATTTTTTCTTCCACATAACCATGCACACTGACATTATTATGCAGACATTACAGATACTGTTGCTGTTAAGTGATACAACACAAAATACTTGGGTCCAAGGTTTTCATGATACAACCAATTCATGGAGATGGGGTCTTATGGCACCCTTCATAGGCCTAACAGCTGAGCCTGGACCTTACATGAAAAGTGCATCTGCATCTGGGCATTAAATTGCATGTTTCCATTTATTTATTTAGAGAAGTGTCATGTAACTGAAGAACACGCTGTCAGAGGAGTGAAAGAATTTTTAAATTCTGTGCACTTTTTGTACATAATTTTCAGTGCAACATATTTGATTTACAATAAAAACATAAAAAAGGGACACATGGACTGTAACTATAGCATACTGCTAAAGATTTTGGAAAATATTTTTGAGTCCTATGATTTAATAGCAATTGATATACTAAATTCTTTTATGCATCTTTTTTAAAAAATTATGAATGGCATTTAATAAATTGTTTTCAGTTTAATTCCACTGGTTTTGCCACGAATGAGGAAAATAATATAAAATTTAAGAGAGAATATGTGGGACAAGGCAGACAGACATCATTTCCAAGCATACTAAAATCTTGGATATCAAAACCTTTACTGAAGCCACTGACTTTTACAACAACAACAAAAAAAACCCAAACAAACTTCTGGCTCAAAGGAAAATTTAAACAAACCAGAGCAACCCATAGCACATCATTTCCTGCAGCAGAGACACCCATTGCTAAAAGGGCCTTCATTACGCATGACACAACAAGCAGCACCCATTCAACCTGAGGGAAGCCCACAGGCTCGCAGGGCCACTGGCTGGCTCTTTGTCACCAAATGCAGCAGGTTGAATGCAGACATCACTGTGATATCCTCACCAACAAAACCAGAGGCAAAGAACAGGGGCAAGAGCTGAGTAGGGAAGAAAAAGAAAAAAAAAAAAAAAGATGAGAACAAATTAAAACATCAAAAATGTTACGATACATTCACAGAAAAAACAATGCTTACAATTTTATGAGACCACCACATGGGAGCACAATTCTAAATGCACTTTTCTCAGTATGTTTAGCCCATTTCTGATACACCCCCCCACCCCCCAACATTTTGATATATATTCCATAGTACTCAGTGAAACAACTTTCTATGCTACCAAGCAAGAGGGAGGGGGCAATTTTGTAGGGGGCACTCACAACAGCCGCTTTAGCTACTCAACGGAGAGCAACTCCGGGTAGCAACCTGTGGGGTCACAAGCGCAGAGGTACTGAGGGAGAGCTCAGGACCTCAGCCAGAGAGCAGGAATCCCGCTTCGAACACCCAGGAATGGTGGGCAGATCAAACGCGCAGGCCTTTTCTATTTGTTTGATTTAAACCAAAATCACACCGCGCAGCATTTCTGAACGGTGAATGCTGGAAACCATTCATTGCTAAAAATTGTTCTTTTGATGACTTGTTTGAGGAACGTGACGCTTCACTGTAATAAACTTGCCAGATATCTTTAAACCACGACTTCTTTTTTTTTAAAGGCAGGAAACAATTCGCGTTGCAAACCGTCCACGAAGACGCATTTAGACAATCTTTCGGCCAGTTTAAATACAGCAAACGGAGAGACGGCAGTCGCGAGATTTTGTTTTAGGAGGGTTTGACGCACGACTACTAACGGGTTCATCTACCCCGCCACGGGCAGGAGGAAACGCGGCCGCCCGGCCGCTCGCTGCGGAAGACGACGGGACACCGGGGGCCGGAGCCGAGCCCTGCCGGGGCCGGTACCAGGGCTCCCGGGGGCTCCGAGCAGCGGGGCCGGACTCCCACCCGCCGCC